TCTGCAGTATATTTAATATAGTAGGAGTTGGAATATTCATTTTTTGGCAGCACCCATCAACTTTAGTGGATCTGTCTAAGAACTGACTTGTTGTCTAAAGAGGCCTGCTTTGGTCCCTCCACCATTTCTCTCCATTACCTCTGATGCTGGATTTGAACCTTACTCCACCCCTCCAAACCTCCTGCTGGTAGGGGTTGTCTTGGCAACAGTGCAGTGTGGACAGAGGCTCCAATTTTTCTGCATGAAGTGGATCTGCGGGCTTGGGATGGACGACCCGGAGAACACCTCCTTATCATTCTATGAGGTCCCTGAACTACCATCGCACCCAGAGGGTGGTGATTTTAGTGAAAAGGTCACTTGAGTGCGAAGTTTATTCATCTGTCAGTTATTTTCTGGCTGGCACTTATCCCTCTGGGATCTGTTGCTGGAGCAGAGATGCTCCCTCTCCTACCCATCTAACCATCTTCTGTGGAATGTTATATTACCTTATTATTTTTGTTTAGTTTAATATTTTGATATAGCAATTAAGCAATTAAAATTAATACATGAACTATATAATACAAATAACATTTTCAAACACAATAAAAACAACAATACATGCATTAAACAACTTATTTGGCTGCCCTCATTTGCCTTCAAGTCGTATGCAAATGAACACATTTCTAGACAGTCAGTAGAGGGCGCAGCAGAGTTCTCCAGTAACAATAAATAACTCATCCAATTGATTGCTGCAGTCATACACCTCTTTCAGGGAGTCCTGGGACCAGGTCCATAGTCTGTGGGTATGAGGATGGCCTTTACGCCTCTCCATAAGGCCATGACATGGGAGCTCCTGTCACATATATGTTATAATTTACATTCATTTATTTAATATATTTAATAAATGTAATAAATAAATATATTTAATTTGCGTTTGATACAGTTCCACACAATAGATTTGTGTTTAAACTCAAAGAAATTGGTCTAGAGGAAAATTCTTGATCTTGGGTTGAACATTGGTTTAAAAAGAGAGTACAGAGAGTTGTCATTAATGGTACATTTTTAAGCTGGACAGAGGTGGCAAGTGGTGTCCCTTAGGATTCCTTTTCGGGACCCCTTCTATTTAACATGTTAATAAATGATCTTTTAAAAAGCGTTCAAAGTCATGTTTCAGTGTTTGCAGATGACACAAAACTCTGTAAAGTAATACACTGACACTGCCACCCCTGCATCTTTGTCCTTCGGTGGTCTCCAACTTACCCACAACCCAAGAAACTCTGAATGTAAAGGTGATGGTGTTGGGTTTCTCCTCTCCTCTCACTGCTCTTTTAAACCTCTTCCCACCCCCTTTCCCATCATTTGAAATACACTCAATTCGCCTTTTCAAACCCTTCTCTGCTAACATTGCTGTTATTTACCGTCCCCCTGGTTCCCCTCTTCTCTTCCTTGACCACTTTGCTGCCTGGCTACCCTATTTCCTCTCTTCTAACATCCCATCCCTAATTCTCGGGGACTTCAATATTCCTATAAACCCACCTTTGACCTCTTCAGCCAACAAACTACTTTCAATTACTTCCTCCCTCGGGCTATCACAGTGGGCAAATTCTTATGCATGTACTGTATCTAATATCGGCAACACTCCGTATCCACTCTCTGATCACCACCTCTTATCGTTTGCTCTCACGTACCCCCTCACCCAACAACCTCCGCCAACTCAGGAGGGACCTTAATTCTCTTGATCTCCAACAGTTGTCAGCTGACATTGATTCACAACTGCTGTCCATCCCTTCCCTCTCCTGTCCTTCACTGGCCATCTCCATATATAACTCTACTCTTACATCTGCCTTGAACACTGCAGCACCACTCCAAACAAGCACCTCAAGGAGGACCCGCCCCCAACCATGGCATACTAAATCAACGCGCTACCTGCAAAGATGCTCCCGTTGTGCTGAACGCTCCTGGAGGAAGTCTCGCACCCAGTAAGACTTTCTCCATTATAGATTCATATTGTGTTCATACAGTGCAGCCCTTGCTCTTGCCAAACAGTCCTATTTTTCCTCTCTCATTAGTTCATGTTCTCCCCTCCTTGCCTTTCTGTTTCTCAATCACACATAGATCATGCCTTTCCTACCCTTCAGACATTCTCCCCAGCCACTGACCAAGAGGTGGCTGCTCTTCTTTGCTCCTCTCGCCCCACCACTTGCCCGCTCGATCCTGTCCCATCTCACCTTATCAGATCTCTCTCTGCTTGTCTCGTGCCTTCTCTAACACACATCTTCAACTGCTCGCTCTCTTCTGACATCGTCCCTGCTGACCTTAAACATGCCACTGTAGTACCTATACTAAAAAAACCATCCCTCGACCCGTCCACCCCCTCTAACTACCTTCCCAAATCCCTGCTCCCTTTTTCCTCAAAGCTTCTGGAAAAACTTGTCTTTACCCGTGTGTCTCATTTCTTCAATTCCAACTCTCTCCTTGACCCCCTTCAATCTGGCTTCCGCCCTCTCCACTCTACAGAGACTGCCCTTATCAAAGTTACTAACGACCTAATCGCAGCTAAATCCAAAGGCCACTACTCCATACTAATTCTTCTTGACCTCTCAGCGGCCTTTGACACCATTGATCATGCTCTCCTTCTTCAAACTCTGCAATCGCTTGGTCTCTGTAACTCTGTCCTCTCATGGTTTTCCTCTTATCTCTCCCAAGGCTCATTCAGTGTCTCTTTTTCTAATGATACCTCCTCCCCTCGCCCTGTCTCGGTTGGAGTCCCCCAAGGCTCCGTCCTTGTTCTCCTTCTATTTTCTCTTTATACTGCCTCTCTTGGCAAACTTATTACCTCATTTGGATTCCACTACCACCTGTACGCTGATGACACCCAGCTATATCTCTCCTCCCCAGACCTCTCCCCTGCTGTCCTGCAACGTGTCACTGCTTGCCTTTCTTCCATCTCTGAATGGATGTCCTCCCGCTTTCTGAAATTCAATCTCTCAAAAACTGAGCTCCTTGTCTTTCCTCCTCCTAATACTGATCCTCCTCTTTCGCTCTCCCTTCAAGTTTGTGGTACCAACATCAGCCCATCCTTACAAGCGCGCTGTCTTGGCGTCATACTTGACTCTGGTCTCACCTTTGAGCCTCACATCCAGCATGTTGCCAAATCCTGTAGATTCCATCTTAAAAACATAGCCCGCATCCGCCCCTTTCTTGCACCAGATACTACCAAGGAGCTTGTCCATGCTCTAGTAATTTCCTGCATGGATTATTGTAACCCTCTCCTGCTTGGTCTTCCCAAAAAGCCGTACTGCACCCCTACAGTCTGTAATGAACGCTGCTGCTAGACTGATTTTCCTCTCTAGTCGGTTCTCTCACACCTCACCCCTCTGCCAGCCCTTACATTGGCTTCCTGTGTGCTATAGGAGTCAATTCAAGGCACTAACTCACACCTATAAAGCACTGAACAACTCTAGCCCCTCTTATATCTCCTCACAGATCCATAGGAATGTCCCTTCTCGTTCTCTCCACTCTGCCCGTGACCACCTCCTGTCCGTTGTCCACACCCGTACGGCCAACTCGCGCTTGCAGGACTTCTCGCGGGCGGCTCCCTTCCTATGGAATAGCCTGCCTACCGCCATCCGACTCTCCCCTAGTCTTGCATCTTTTAAGTGCCTTAAAACCCATCTCTTTAGGAAAGCTTATGGCCTCCAAGACTAACCCCTACCTCACATACCCGTCTCTTGCCCTCTCCTAAAGGGCAGCCCACCTTATCTGATTGCAAATTCCTGTCCTAATGTGTTTTACACCCCACCTCCTATAGAATGTAAGCTCGATTGAGCAGGGTCCTCTTCAACCTATTGTTCCTGTAAGTTTATTTGTAATTGTCCTATTTATAGTTAAATCCCCTCTCATAATATTGTAAAGCGCTATGGAATCTGTTGGCGCTATATAAATGGCAATAATAATAATAATAATAATAATAATGTGAGCAATATATTACTTTGCTGCAGAGGGATTTAGATAGACTGGGGGACTGGGCACTCAAATGGCAGATGACATTTATTGTAGAAAAATGCAAAGTTATGCACTTCTGCGTCAAGAATGCACAAGCAACTTACACCCTTAATGGAAGCAAATTAGAGATAACCACACACGAGAAAGACTTGGGAATTGTTATAGACAACAAACTATGCAACAATGTGCAATGTCAATCAGCAGGCCAGTAAGGTATTGTCATGCATGAAAAAGGGCATTCATTCTCAGGCTAAGAATATATTTTTGCCTCTTTATAAATCCCTGGTAAAACTATATATTGAATATGCTGTGCAATTTTGGGCACCTGTTCTAAAGAAGGATATTGTGGCAGTAGAAAGAGTGCAGAGGCGGGCTACAAAATTAATAAAAAGGAATGGAACATTTTAGCTATGAAGAAAGGTTAACCAATTTAAACCTCTTTAGTTTAGAAAAACTTTGCCTCAGAGGGGATATGATAACATTATACAAATATATTTGCGGCCAATACAAATCATTGTGTGGAAATCTATTTACAAACAGGACTTTACATAGGACACAAGGTCATGCGTTTAGACTGGAATAAAGAAGATTTCGTCTAAGGCAAAGGAAAGGGGTTTTTTTGGTCTTCTTTTGGATCAACAGCAAAAAAAAAAAAACATGAGGAGGGCTGAACTTGATGGACACATAGCTCTTTTTAGCCTATGAAACTATGTAATAGAAAGACACAATTGGAGGGAAAATAATAAAATTAATATTGTGCCAATGTTGTGGGTCAATTGTATAAATAGAACTCATTTTGTGTATAATTTCTGGTTCTGGAACAAATAAAATGATTATAGTTTTCATTTGCAGTGTTACATGGAGATATTATGTAGATATTGTTTATTCATGGATGAATAGCTTAATTATAATATGAAATATAATATCAGTTATGAACTGTGTAATTAAGAATAAGGTATCAATTGTACTATTATGTTTCTTCTCCTCCTCTCTTTTCCTGCATTGCAGAGTTGATGTATAAGGCAAAGTGGAACGCAAAACCCCAAATTAAAAAGGGCAGTTCAGTTGAACGCACAATACGGCCACCATGTTGGATTGAAGGTGGAATGCAAATGGTGGCCGCATGGAATGCACTCATCACTTCCGGCGAACAAGGATGAATACAGAGTTTACCAGAGAAATATGAGGATTAAGTGAAGCCCGCTGGAAATTAGGTTTCACCCATGGAACCACCAATGAACTGCGGACTGACCTTATATATACTTGGACTTGGGAAAGGGAAAACATCCTGCCATTCCCTCAGGGGAGTTTTAATGTGATTTCTTATTGGGTTTTTTTTTTTTACATATCAAAAGGTGCATCAACAGCACAGATTTGGCGGTAGAAGCAGAACGGAACTTGTACCTGTGTCATGCTGTTACAATAACCTAACTGGGTGCTAAGTTGTTTGTACCCAGTCTTATTTCGTGAGCGTATTTCATCCATCTGTTAACCGGGCGTTTCATTAAGGATACTCCTATAGGCGTATAGGAGAATTTCATAACTTTGATTCACCATATGACCAAAACACAAAACAACCGAAGCAGACACTGGATAAACTGTTTAGGTTGATTTGTTCCATATAATGTGCCAAAAAATAGATGATTAATGGTACTAAAATGTTGATGTAATGCACAGATCAAGTGAGGACTGACCAATAAATGGAAAAATCAAAGAGCAGCAAAAATAATTTATATTTTTATATTATATTTATTAATTACATTTGTCCTAACCTAAAAACATCATGTGGACAAATCTTGGACTGAGCAAACTTTTTTTTTTTTTTAGATATATCAGTTCGGGCAACTCTAAACTTTATTTTTTCTTTACATAAGTATGCTATATTAACATGCTTTACATTATTTAAAGGGACAATGTAAGCACCAAGAAAATATTAGCTTAATGAAGCAGTTTTTTTGTGTACCACTGCTCAATTCTCTGTCATTAAGGAGTTAAATCACTCTGTTTCTGGAGCTCTAGACACACTTCAACATGTAAAGAGATGTTTAAACTGCATTTAATTTAGAATGTTTTATCTCCTGCTCTGTTAACCCCTTAAAGACAGATTTAATTGTCCAAGCTCTGAACAAAAACAAAACCTAGAATTTAAGCTATATGTTTGTTCAACCATAATTTACCTCCTTTATATTAAGTGCACCTACCCTTATCATATATCATTTTGTTCAGGGAAAATATGGCTTTCATTTCCCATCAAACAATTATATATAAAACATAATGTAATAGGAATAATATCTAAAAAATTGAGACACAGAGACACACACTGCATCCCTTACATACACAGAAACACACCTTGCATCCCTTCCACATACAAACACAGATTCACACAATGCATCCCTTAAACACAACCAGAAACACACAATACATAAACAGAAACGAAAGTGATTTAACTAATAAATGGCAGATAATGGAGCAGTCAGATCATAGGGGCATAAGGCTGTTTTGGTGCTTACAGTATCCCTTTAAATATGGTTTTCACTCTTTGTAGTAAACCTATAACTCCATACCTCCCAAGTGTCCCTGTTTAAGATACAACTGTCCCTTTTTTTAATCCTAATGTCCTTCTTTTTTAGGATCGCCATATGCGTGGTGGTTCTGAGAGTATAATAGAGCTGCTCAACAATTAATCTAACAGTAATGTGTCTTTAAACTACAATGAATGTTTGTAGAATTCAGTCTGTGTAAATAGACACAGTATTGTTCTATCTTACATTTTAGTACCATACATTTTTAGTAAGTCACCTAAAGTTTCTAGGAACAGCCAGCCCCTGGCCACACTCCCAGCCACATCTCTAAAATTAAAGTGTCTCTCTTTGTCCATTTGAAATGTTGGGCAGGGGCAGCGAGTTCTATACCTATAAGCGACCTAGGCAGTCGCCTAAGGCACAACGGCCCGGGGGGCGCAAATTTCGAGTGACCTGGCAGGAGGGAAGCGCACAGTGTGGCGCAGACCACGGTAAGGGAGCTTTCTGTACCCGACCGGATTGAAAGAAAGTGCTCTCTCAGTAAGCTCTTCCTGTCAGTCTGGCCAGGTACAGGATACAGAAGCTCCTGTACTGCGGTCCGCACCACCCGGCCACACTACACAGAGGTAGGAGGTACAACAGGGAAGGGGTGGGAGAGACCACTAAGGGACACTGGGTGGAGGGAGAGGAGGAGAGACCACTAAGCGACACTGGAGGAGGGAGGAAGAGGAGGAGAGACCTATAAGGGACACTGGGGGGAGGAAAGACCACTAAGGGACACTGGGGGGGAGCAGAGACCACTAAAGGACACTGTGGGGATGGAGAGGAGGAGAGACCACTAAGGGACTCTGGGGGCGGGACCACTAAGGGACACTGGGAGAGACCACTAAAGGACACTGGGGAGGAGAGACCACCAAGGGACACCGGGGAGAGAGACCATTAAGGGAAAAGATGGGGGGTGGAGAGAATCACCAAGTGAAAGATGGGGGGGAGACTACTACGGTTAAGATGGGGGGAGGAAAAGACCACTAATGTACACTGGGGGGAGGAGAGACCACTAAGGGACACTGGGGGTGAGGGGCTAGGAGAGACTGCTAAGGGATACTGGGGGAGAGGAGAGACCACTAAGGGAAAGATGGGGAGGGGTGAGCACTAAGGGACAGGAGCGGAGAGGAGATCACTAAGGGACAGAAGGGAAATGGAGAGCACTAAGGGACAGAGGAGCAGGGAAGAGCACTAACGGACAGGGGGGCAGGTGAGGGACAGGTGAGGAGGGGAGATAACTAAGGGATGGGAGAGCACTAAGGGATAGGAGAGCGCGAAGGGACAGGACGGGGTGATGGGACAGCACTAAGGGACAGGAGGGGATGGGACAGCATTAAGTGACAGGAGGGGAGGGTAGAGCACTAAGGGACAGGAGGAGAGGGAAGAGCACTAAGGGACAGGAGGGAAGGGGAAAACACTAAGGGACAGGAGGGGAGGGAAGAACAGTAAGGGACAGGAGGGGAGGGGAGAGTTCTAAGGGACAGGATAGGAGACCTTTAAGGGACAGGGGGAGAAGTGGAGTTGAGACCACTAAGGGACTGGGGAAGTGGAAGAGATTATTAAGGGACGGGGGGATGTAAGACACGTAGAAAGGCTGAGGATGGGGTGAAAGAGAAGTACAGAAGGGCTGGTAGGGGAGACAGAGAAACACAAAGGGGCTCAGGAGAGAGACACACATTCGCTTGTGAGGGAGACACACAGAGGGGCCTGGAGGGAAAAGAGACACTCCAAGGAGCTAGGAAGAGTAAGACACAAAGGGGCTTGGGGGAGTAAGACACACAAAGGGGTTGGGAGGATGTAGGAGACATACAAAGAGGGGGGATAAGAGACACAAGGGGTTTGTAAGAGATACACTAAAGGGGAGTGTAAGACACAAAATTTAAAGAAAAAATTATAGTAACAAAATACATGTAATAATAAAAGCTACTCCCCTCTCGGCCCCTATCCTAACCCACAAACCCTCTCTTTCACACTATAAACATACACATAAACACACATGCACAGAATGCATCTCTACTCACACACACACACTGAAACATACAATGCATCCTACACTCACACAGAAACACACAATTCTTCCCTTACACAAACAGAAACACACAATGCATTAATTACACACACACACACAATGCATACCTCACAAACACAAACACGCACTACATCCCTTACACAAACTGGTATCCCTATACATTCCATTCCATAGGAACACACACACATTACATCCTCTACAATAAAAGATAGCACTTCCCCTACACACATCCACTCCCTGTGAGCGAACTCATGGCTTGTAGGCATCAGGCTTATGGGCAGGCCTTGTGGGCATACTCGCGGTCAGGCCCTGAGGGCCCAGACTGTGATCTGTGGAGCTGGTTTCTGTTCGTTGTTTTTGTGATCACTGCCTCCAGAGAGCCTGTGTTAACACCAGACCAGTGAAGCCAGACTGCAGCCTGAGCCCATCATCATCCTCTTGTACTCAGGCCCTGATGTTGGGAGGTATGTTACTATAGAACTGGGCCTCATAAATTCACTTAAAGTGGAACTTCCTTGTTTTTTAATATTATCTATTTATCCCCATACATAAACAATATAAATTTGTGAGGCAAGAAAAAAATAAATGCAGAAATATACACCTCTTTATCCTGCAACTGGGCACCTTGACGTTAGTTATCTATAAACCATTGTTATGGGCTCTGTCCTTTGCTAGGAGAAAAGGAAAAATATATAGAGAAAAGGAGAAACTTTATTCCTGTTTCACCAATTATATGCAATGTTTGCAATGGTTTTGCACATTCTACACTGGATTATGATGTAATATTTAAAAGAAATCAAAGCATCTCAAAAAAGGTTCATATAAGTCAACCCTCAAAAAGTGGGGGAACCTATTCCTTACGTGTACTGAACGAGTGACGGCACTGAAAATGTCCATACTCCCCAGGTTACAATATATCTTTAGACCGTTGCCCATAGGGATTCCCCAAACATACTTTAAAACAATCCAAAGCGATGTCGATGCATTTATATGGAAAGGACAGAAACCGCGAGTAGCGCGGAAACTGCTAACAGCTCCGCTAAAAGCAGGCGGCCTGGCAGTTCCAGACATACGTGCCTATTATCATGCCTCCATACTAGCAGCGGCACTGCCACACCTAATAGATCAACCACCCCCACAGTGGGTGACACTGTGTAAAATGTAATTTGAATGGTGATAATGTTGAATCCTCTTAATTTCTTCTTGTCTTCAGTTGATTGATATATATATATATATATATATATACGTCTTTTGTATATATATTCTTGGGCCAAATGCTCGCCACAATAATATATGTCTATATTTTTGAAAAGTAATACGCAATCTGACTTACGGTTTCTTCGGGTTTATTCTTTGTTACAGATACATAATAAAACATAATAAAGGATGTTACAGGATAGTGGACATTCAACAGCAGATGGTAATTGCTGGACTTCTTTTGCATCCTTACATCTTTCCATCTAGAGAGAGAGCAAGAGAGCCCAGAGCCAAGAGCCACGAGCCAAGAGAGAGCGACCTCGTGTCCCTCTGTTACTATAAAGATGTGCTAATACTAACGTCAGCATTTAACTCTAGCCATATAAGGACAAGACCCCCACATCCACATTCCAGAGCTCTCGGACAAAGAAAGCCTTGTGACTTATTGATACC